AACTTCCCCTCTCCCTGAATAGAATCACATGCAAAGCAGCAGCCTCCTGTTTCTTTCATCCCATTAGTACCAAACACCTGAGAGGCTGGAGTGGCTATTTAACTTGCAGAGATGAAATATACTGGTGTGTTTTTTCATATAAAGTCCTTTCAATTCCTTGTTTGGGTGGTTGCCCTTTCTTCTCATTTTGTTTTCCAAATCATAAATTCTGAATGGAACAAAGTTTTATCCAACAAATATATAAAAGAGCATCAATGTTTGAAACCCTGCAGGTGGTTATGAGAATTGCAAATGAGTTATCACCATGTAATTCAAAGGAGTACATAAGCGTTTTCTTCTCTTTTTTGTAGCAAAGATGTGTATTTTGAAATAATGCTACCTATTATAATATGATCTTGCCTGATTGGCATATCATCTTAAAGACTTTGTTCATTTCCTTGTGTTTAGCTGATGGAGGAATTCTCATTGGTCTTTGTTTTTGGTACACCTAGAAGAGCACAAACTTGTATCAGACTGTTGATCAGATTTCATTTGAGGCTATGCATTAGTCAGGTAAGCTATAGTTATTGTGGAAATGTGAAACACATAAGATGTGTGGCAAACCCAGTTACTTTTTCTGAATGGGGTAGAATTAAAATTGCCTTCTTAAGAGTGGTTTCAGAGTAGCAGCCATGTTAGTCTGTATTCGCAAAAAGAAAGAGTACTTGTGGCACCTTAGAGACTAACTTGGTTAGTACTCCTTTGCTTATTAAGAGAAACTTTTCAAAAATTAAAAGTGGTAGCTAGGAGATGACTTATTGCAATAGACCCTAACAGAAAGATAGTCTTGTACTCCAAAATGCATGACACTATAAAGATTTCTGTGAAGTATTAGAAGTATATTGTAGCACAGAATGTTAATTCTTGGCAAAGTATGTGTTCAAAGAGCTAATGATGCTTTGGTATGTGGGCTGTTTAGTCTTCTCCATCTTTAATTTCTTCAATTTGAGTAGGAAAGTGAGCTAGCATTTATTTCTAACATACAAATCAAGGCTGAAGACGGAATTCTGAAATAAAAGCTGACATAAGACATATGCTGATGTACTACAAAATCTGTATATAATGGAATTAACGTGAAAAATAAACATCTACTAGAATCTAGAAACTATGGAGATTAGAATCTAGTGGGCAAAACAGTAAAATGATGGGATGATACTCATACAATACATAGAATGTCAGTAGAGATGGGAAGAAAAGGTAAAAGGGTGATGCTGTCATCCTACGTATCGCAAGGATTTATAGCGCCTATACAGCAGTGGAGGTGGTGGAGAAATACTTTATGGAAGGGTACAAGGAATGAAAAACAAAAGTGGACAGTGGCACCTTGTCCACCAGGATAGGAGAAAAGCCAAAATAAAAAAATAAGGCCTACTCTTTTTAGTCACCTTGTATTGCAGTATGCAGTACTTATGGAGGATAGCTGGGTAGGTGGTGGGTGGGGAAATAACCAGACGCATCATCAGATTGGTTCCTAAGTTTTGTGTAGAAGGCAGCTTCATAAATCAGAAAGTAGTGACTCCAACTGGAGAAAAAGAACCATTATCTGCTTACTGTTTAGGAATCTGGAAACCAGGAGCTACTTGACTTTAGAATAATAGAGAATGAGATCACAAAATGCATACAATGAGGATATAGATTTCAGGTAAACAGTTTTTGGGAAGGGAAAAAATAAAGGATGCAATTCTTCAAAAGTGCCTAAGTAAATTAGGAGCACAAGTCCAGTTGACTTTCAACTTGTACTCCTTAGTCATTTAAAATCTCACCCCTAGTGAGTATGGAGCAAATGGATATGCTATTAAAATCTGCAGGCATGGAAAAAAGCGGGTGAATCTCAAAAGACTTCTAACAGTCTACAATTCTTCTGAAAAAAGATTGTAAGCATTAAGTAGGAGGAAGAACTATTTAGAACAGTGCAGGAGTGTGTCTAAAAGCAGTGAAATGAAACTGAGCAAAGGGGGGGGGGGGGGAGAGGCTAAAGTCTGTTTGAGTAATAGTCTCCCAGGAGATGTGGTGGAAGCCCCAATTCTCCAGTCATGTAAGACTGGACTGGACACTCCAGAATATATTGTAAGAAATCATTCTTGAATGGTACTAAGATGGAATAGCTGGTTAGTGTAGGAAGTAAGTATGTCTTCTGTTCTAGGGTTGTTTTGAAGGAGCTGTGTATTGATTGAAATTTTAAAGAATGCCTGGGGTTGTGGTGGTGAGGAAGTCTACCCCATTTTAATGCAGCAGTGATGATTTTGGCAGGCTGCTAAAATAGCTGTTTAATTTATACTTTGTTGATGCTGTATATAATTGAGACACATGTACTTTAAAGACTGTGTGAATAGCAGACTGCCAAATGAAACAAGTGTTCCCCTACAGAGGTGGGGTCATAATATAATTAATGAGCAATGGGCTGTTAAATGTTGTAAAATCAAGATAAAAGGAAACTGCGATAAAGTATTGGCAAAAGTGACAGGAGGAATAGGTTTCCAGTTTGAAATTAAACTGCTACTCACTTAAATTACCAGTTCACACAAAGTTTCTTCCTCCCCATGCCATGCATGCCTCAGCCTTCAGTTCACACCTTAACACAATTTTTTTTAACTTTCAACAAAATAATTACTTCAAGCTGTGGTTTTATATTATTATAATCTCTCAAAGCTAGTCCCTTTCAACTTTCCTTATTTAACCCTTAGCACATCGAACAGGTCTGAGGTTGTTACGGTGGCACAAGATCAGCCTTGAACCATATTCAGGGCTAACTAAATTCTGATGCAGATGTGTTTATATCACCGAAGATATTTAACAAAGTAACCCTCAAGTTGTTGTTATATTGAAATGTGCTCTGTCTTTTCTTCCTTTTTAACCTTGCTGCCAAAGAATGATTTCCCCCCGCATCATCTGTAGTCAGGTTTAGAATTAAACCAACACTGGGGCTTACATTTAAAAAATGCCAAAAAATCACACTGTCAACTTGAAATCTAGTCCGTTTCAAACATGAGTTACACAGATACTGCATCTGCCCAGAGTCTCTTGCCAATTTCTTTGGTTTTACAGTTCTGTTATCCAATTTTTAAAAATGCTTTTCTCCCTTGTGTGACAAAGTTCCTCCTACCTTGGTGGGTCTTGCGCTTATTGGCGGATTTGCTTACCTTGGAGCTTCACGGCAGCCCTTAGTTTTGCCGTTTTCGTGAACCCACAGTCCAGGTCAACTCCTCCTGTGTCTGACCAGGAGTTGGGAGGTTTGGGGGGAACCCGGGCCTGCCCTCTACTCTGGGTTCCAGCCCAGGGCCCTGTGGAATGCAGCTGTCTAGAGTGCCTCCTGGAACAGCTGTGCGACAGCTTCAACTCCCTGGGCTACTTCCCCATGGCCTCCTCCCAACACCTTCTTTATCCTCACCATAGGACCTTCCTCCTGGTGTCTGATAATGCTTGTACTCCTCAGTCCTCCAACAGTATGCGTTCTTACTCTCAGCTCCTGGTGCCTCTTGCTCCCAGCTCCTCACACATGCACACCACAAACTGAAGTGAGCTCCTTTTTAAACCCAGGTGCCCTGATTAGCCTGCCTTAATTGATTCTAGCAGCTTCCTGATTGGCTGCAGGTGTTCTAATCAGCCTGTCTGTCTTAATTGTCTCCAGAAGGTTCCTGATTGTTCTGGAAGGTTCCCTGTTACCTTACCCAGGGAAAAGAGACCTACTTAGCCTGGGGCTGATATATCTGCCTTCTGTTACTCTCCTATAGCCATCCGGCCCGACCCTGTCACATATGTTATGTAATATGTTTAGATTGACAGCATCCTTTTTTAAACTCCTCTTTCCAATCTCCCTTTCCATGTTACTGTACTCTCCAGTGACTTTTTTTTTAATGTGACTTGAAAAATAAGTATTAAAAAAAAAAACTGAGTGGGGAATTTGACTTTTCTCCTTCCTCTTCCTTCCTGTCTACCCCCTCTTCCCCCCCCTCCCCAAATCTGTGTGGCCCTATCAAAGGAAATTCTTAGTCATAACAATACATTTCCAATTTTGATAGCTCTAGTTATTTAAGTTTGGAGAAAAGCCACTATGTATCCAGTCTCTTGGACTGTTAAATAGATTTACTGTAGTTAGATGATTCTGGTGCTTAAATGGAAGATAATTGATGTTCCTCTTGTTAAAATACAGTAATTAGTTTGTATGTTGAAAGGCAGAAGGAAAGTGGACATAAGTGATCACTCAAAAGGTTAAATATTAGCTCAGTGGACAACAGGAAGGATGGTCTTTTAGATTATGGCAGAGGAACAGAAGTCAGGAGATCTGGGTTTCATTCCTGACTCTACCATAAACACCTTGGGTAACTTTGGGAGAATTACTTAATCTCATTCTGCCTTCATTTCACCACTGATTAAAATGGAGATAATGTTTGCCCTACTTAACAGGATTGTGGAGACATAATTCACTAACGTTTTGTAATGTGCTTTGTGATAATCTTGGAACATGCCAAAGAAATGAACAGTACTGTTAATGAACTCCTGATTGAATAAGTCATTTACTAGTTCCAAAGAGCACACTATCCTCTTCTACTTGGCTGGAAGTTTGGAATCTGTTCTTAAAGTGTTTGGTGGTGGATAACTAGGATGGAAGAATGGAATGTTTCCTCAAGGCATCCTGGGGCACACAAGAAATTTGTTTATATAAATATATATCCTTTGTAATATGTAAATATGGCCTGACTTCCAACTGTGGTGTGCGATGGGCCTTAAGCAATATCTAGATGCGTAATTGAAAGAGATTTCATATTATTTGTTTTCAGTAACATGAATGTTAAGTATAGCAAGGTAAGTAAGAATATATATCAAACTTGGACTGCTGCAGCCACGTGCCCAATGTACGTACGGAATTACTTACTTGTTATATGGTACGGTGACTTTGGGAGCTACAAAACTAAAGCTGCTTATTTGAAGTAAATTCCTTTTTTTTTGTTTTTGTTTTGCAGCAAATGGTCAGCAGAAACCTCAGGCCGCAGCCATGCTATGCCTCACATTAAGACTTACATGAGGCCATCTCCTGACTTCCAGAAGATTGCGTGGTTTTTAGTTACAAGGTAAATGAACTATACATTCCTAATTCCTGCGAACAAAGGCTGCAGACCATATTTACATGATGGAGGACTCTCTGTCTTGGGAAGCAATAACTCTGGAAAAAGATTTGGGGGTTGTGGTAGATAATCAGTTGAATGTGACCTCCCAGTGTGACCCTGTGGCCAAAAGGGCTTATGCAGTCCTTGGGCTCATATACAGAGGAATCTCCAGTAGGAGTAGGGAAGTTATTTTACCTCTGTATTTGGCAGGCTTCAGGAATACTGTGTCCCATTCTGGTGTCCACAGTTCAAGAAGGATGTTGATAAATTGGAGAGGGTTCAGAGAAAACCATCAAGAATGATTAAAGGATTAGAAAACATGCCTCACAGTGGTGGACTCAAAGAACTCAGTCTATTTAGCTTAACAAAGAGAAGATTAAGGGGTGACTTGATTACTATAAGTGCCTACATGGGGAACAAATATTTAATAATGGGCTCTTCCATCTAGCAGAGAAAGGTATAACATGATCCAGTGACTGGAAGTCAAAGCTAGACAAATTCAGACTAGAAATAAGATGTACATTTTAAACAGCAAGAGTAATTAACCGTTGGACCAATTTACCAAGAGTCATGGCAGATTCTCCAGCACTGGCAATTTTTAAATCAAGATAGGTTCTAGGCATTTGATGTGGGAAGTTCTGTGGCCTGTATTATATAGGAAGTCAGACTAGATGATTATAATTGTCCCTTCTGGCCTTGGAATCCATATATCTATAATTAAAGCTAATCTTTAATGTATGGAGATTTCATTTTTCTTAGGGCCAGGTCAACTATCTTTATAATCTTTTTGGTATTTAGAAAAGCAATAATATGAAAAGTTGTAGATAGAGTCCACCTTGTTTTGATCCATTTAAGGTTTCTTCTGTGCATTTATGGAAGACTTTTCGTAATCTCTCATAAATCTGTTCTCACTGAGTTCAGTAAGAGTGTTGTTGTTGCTATTGGGTAGAAACAGGATCAGGCCCAAAGAGCAGAAATGAATGAATGAATCACCACTCACTTAAAAAAAAAAAAAAAAAGTACTTTGTAAGAAATTAAGTGTTTAAGTACTAAAAATCAGTAAATTGCACCTTGTGACAACTTAAGTGCATAAGAGATGCTTTGAAATATTTAAGACTGACTATGCAAACACATTTTGTCACAAAAAATATATTAAATCAAAGTACCATGTAAAAAAAGATGTCTAGAAGGGATGCTAGAAATGTTTGAAACAATCCCTTGAACAATTTGTAGGCCTATATACAAGTTAATAGAATAAATTCATTGCTATGGTGTACATCCATGATACTTTCCTATAAACATATTTATTATTATTCATGCTTATTATAATAGTGCCAAAGGGCCAACCAAGAGTGATACTCCATTGTGGTAGGCATCGTACAATCACACATTTTTGGAAATTTAAATGTCAACAACTCATTTTTGTTGTGTTACCATTTAATTAAATGAAAAATCACTTGCCTTAAAGATTTCAGAGTAACAGCCGTGTTAGTCTGTCTTTGCAAAAAGAAAAGGAGTACTTGTGGCACCTTAGAGACTAACCAATTTATTTGAGCATGAGCTTTCGTGAGCTACAGCTCACTTCATCGGATGCATACCGTGGAAACTGCAGTAGACATTATATACACACAGAGACCATGAAACAATACCTCCTCCCACCCCACTGTCCTGCTGGTAATAGCTTATCCAAAGTGACCACTCTCTTCACAATGTGTATGATAATCAAGGTGGGTCATTTCCAGCACAAATCCAGGTTCTCTCACTCCCTCACCCCCCTCCAAAAACCACACACACAAACTCACTCTCCTGCTGGTAATAGCTTATCAAAAGTGACCACTCTCCCTACAATGTGCATGATAATCAAGGTGGGCCACTTAAAGAGCCACTGATGCCTCTCATAGGTAAATTTTAATCTGTATAGAAACAATTCTGCTGCAGCTGTATTTTTCTGCCTCTATCCAGACTGGTAAAAATGGCTAGGTGACTAGGATGCGCAGAGGAGCTAGTGTCTCTTTTCACCCTCTTCTGTAAAAGCCCAGCTTCTCCTCTCCATGAGACAGGTGGTCTGGTTTGACAGACTAACATGCTAAATAATGATGCAGGGCTCCTCTGATGTTAAATATCATTTGTATTGTGGTAGCATATAGAGGTCCCAATCCAGGTTGGAGACCCATTGTGCTAGGCACTGTATAAACATATAACAAGAAGATTATCCCTGCCCTAAAGAACTTGGAATCTAAGATAACAGGTGGAGGCAGTAAACAGATGAGGGAGGGGTGAGGTGAACAATGTAACAAGAAGACTATTAAGAGCTATGTATTATTATTTTAATGATCAGAATGAGAAGCAGCTGTGAGTTAGCTTTATATCATGCATGTTATGGGCCTTCATTTCACCAAGGCTTTGATCCATAGAATGACCAATATCCAAAGTATTGTCAGTGGAAAATGTGAAAAGAAATACAGTAACTTATTTAACTCAGTGGGAGGAGAGGCAGAATTTTGTGCTGAATTTCTTGCCTGAACAGAAGCATCCTGTTGTAATGTTTGTACAAGGTTTTGCAAATGTTAAGTGCAACGGTCTGTGCACTAGGTATCATCACCCAGGGACATTCTGAAGTCAGCACTTGCTTTTTTTGTGGTGGCTAGAGCTGAGAGTCTATTTTTTTTCCCTTGTGTACGTAGTTCACCTGATGAATTGCATGGAAGTCTCCCACCCAAGCTTTTGTCTTTCCAGTTTGTTTCAATTACTTCTATCTTCTTGAACAGATGACCCTTATCACAAGTAAATAATTTCTGTTAACATAAAAATAGGCTGCCCTGCTGCTCAGAACAAATTTTTGACTTATCTAGGAAAGCAATTGGTGGTATATGAGCATATGCTGAAGTTGTCAAAAATCCCAGACCTAATAATAATACTTTGTTCTTCTGTAGCATCTCCTATTTACAATTTACAAACATTAAACTTCACAACACCCCTGAAGGTGAGTATTATCTCCAGTTTACAGATGGGAAAACAGATGCTAAATGACTTGTCCAAAGTCACATGAATTAGGAGCAGAGCTCAAATTTTCTAGTTCATTGTATTTAATTCTTTCATGATCTATAGTCAGAGTTGCTAGAAACCCTTCTTAATGTTGATCCAGGGTGGGCTTTGGGGGTTTATTTTTCTTCCTTGGATGGTGAGATGTCTGTTAAGCTCTCTCAATGGAAGTGATGAAAGCTGCAACATTTTGGACTTCAAAAGCAAACTGGCCAAAGAACTACAAAATGCACTGTTGGGAACAATCCTGCACTAGCAGAGAGATGGACTAGATAGCCCTAACAGGTTTCTTCTCATTTCTGCACCAACAACTTGCATCTGATTTATGCAAGAACACTTGCTGAAGAACTCTTAATCTTAAAATGGCAAATGGCTGTTTAAGCCATGAGCTCATGTAACTTCTACTCTGAGAGTTTATTATTTTCTGCCTGATGACCGTGAAAAGTCAGCCATCTCATTCACAGATAAAGGGAGGCTATTAAACTCTTGGAGTCTCTAACTGCCTTTTTTAAAAATTTCAGTGATTTGTGTTGAGAAGTAATGATAGTTCAGCTCTATGATAAGAAAATATTCTGAGTTCTTTATTTATTCATTCATCTTTCATTAAAGGAATTGCATGAATTCACCACTCCATATGCAATAGTTTATGCAAAAAACTTATCTAGTCTCTGACTCCCACTACAGTATGTTTTCGGAGGCTTTGTGTTGCATAGTTGCCATAGCTACTGCATCACTGGGCAGTGAAAAATTCCGTAGAGAAACCCTGCCCTTTGAATGAATCTCATTTTAATTGAGTACTTTAATTGTATTGGTTTTTTGTTTCTCTCCAGCTGAAAATGGAATGTTACATATTGTACAGCAATATAGAAAGTCCCTTAGTTTTATGAATCTCAAATGGATTATTGCTGTGTAAATACTTATTAATGTGGTATAGAACCTAGGAGTGACTTTGCATTCTCTTTCAGTCCTGTCAAATCTGTAGCTAGATCTAGACTCTGGTTTGACTGTTGATTGCTCTATTTTTTTCTAAATTTGTGGGTACTTCTGAATAATGGCATTAGTTTGAACCTCTCGTAGTGCAATCCATGGCTGTGTAAAATTCCCACACAGCTCTGCCGTTACAATTCAGTCCTGACATACACCCCACCTCCTGTTCTAATCCTGGACATCTCTGGAGGCAGCTAATCTTATTCAGTTGTTTATCTTTGTGATGTGTACAACTAGAATGAGGATTTATTTCAATGTTTTAGATTAACAGTTTAGCTCAATGTCTAAGGGTAGGTCTATACTACCCTCCGGATCGGCAGGTAGCGATCGATATATTGGGGGTAGATTTATTGCGTCTCATCTAGACGCGATAAATCGATCCCCAAGCGCTCTCCTGCTGACTCTGGAACTCCAGCACCATGAGAGGCGCAAGTGGAGTCGACAGGGGAGCGGCAGCAGTAGACTCACCGCCGTGAAGGTGCCGTGGTAAGTCGATCTAGGTACATCGACTTCAGCTATGCTATTCTTGTAGCTGAAGTTGCATACCTTACATCGATGACACCACCACGCCCCCCCTCACCCCACCCTGGTGTAGACCAGGGCTAATTCCCAGCCATGCCCCAGAATTGCAGTTGGTTTCTGGAGAGATTGTCTCTTCAGCTCCACTTCCTCTTTGGAGGCATTTGCAGCAGTTATCCCTGCAATTTTCAAGGAGCAAACGAGGCTGAGAAAAGTCAGAGGCAAAAGGAAGGGTTCATGGGTACATCTGCACCGCAGCTGGGAGGAGTCTTTCCCAGCTCAGGTAGATGTACACATGATTGCTACTTTTAGCTTTCTAGCTCAAGCAGAGCAATGTGGCCCTGGTGGTGCAGGCAGGTACCCAGCAGATTGGGTGTGACTGTACTCAAGTAGCTAAGCCAAGCCTCCACAGCCAC